CCGGGTAGGGAGGGGGATACCCCGAAATGGTGCAGCGGCCCGGGAGAGCCGGGGAGGGGCTGCCTTTGTGCGAGCCGGGGGAGGGGCCGGTCGGGCCAGGCGGGGCGCGCAAGCCGGGGAGCCCTGAGGCCGCCCTAGGCGCACTGGGGGCGCGGGAGCCGGATGCCAGCCACGCGGACGTGGAGCTCAGACGTGGAGACCGGGGTGCTACGGCCCTGCCGGAGCCCATCCCCCTTCCCCCCCAGCCTCCCTCCACGGGCCCGGGGGACAGGTGTGCACGGGCCAGCCAAGGGCACCTTCGCCACCTTCGAGCGGACGAGGACCGGGTGGGGACGGGGCGGGGACCGAGCTAGCGGAGCTAGAGCAGCCTGCCCGGCCACAGCACAAAGGAAAGCTAGGGCGGGGGAGGAGCGCTGAGAGCCGGGGGGGCCAGCGTGCCCCGCCCACCGGGGGCTTCTCAGGGTTGTATACCCCCACATCTGGGTTGGGGTGTAATAGAAGGAGGGTTCACTGCCACATGGTAACCACGAAGTGACTTCTTTATCCCTCACGAATCGCAAAGGAAGAGCGGTAGGGTTGAGCCCTTCTCTCCCCTTCTGAAGAAGGAGATCGCCAGGACTAGGCAGCTAGGCAGGAAGAGACCCAGGAGATGGACCCAGGCAGCTTGTCTAAATGGTCAGCTAGGAGGAAGCATGGTGGGAGCCCCCACTGAGGGATACCAGAATGATATCTGGGACCCTAGCCTTGTCACTCCCCAGCACGGGGCTGTCAGACTCTTAGGAGGGTAGTGTGGACTTGATTCTCTCCCCCTCCCCAGCTGTTACCTTCCCTGAGGTGGAGGAGGCTGTGAACCACCTGCTCTGGGCTGAAGCCCCAGGGTGTCAGGGCAAACCAAGGGGTTCGATGCCCCCATTCTGAACACAGCTCCCAAATGTTCTTTCTTCTCGGGGCAAATCCCCATTTTGTATTTAGGTCTCTTTTCACCTCCTCAGGCAGGAAGTAGCAGCCTCTTGAGAAAACTGAGGCAGAGTTGGGGCTTGTCTGAGGGACCCCAGTTGGGCTGGCCTCACTCTCACCCTGGGAGGGCAGCCAGGTAGGGGGGCTGGAGGAAGGCACAAAATAGCCAAGCCTCCAGCCATGGTACTGCAGCACTGGCGGGCAGCCAGGCCCAGAGGGATGGACTCGGGAGACAAGTTCTTGTGTCTTGCAGGTCACTTATAGGAAAAGCTGCACAGGCCAAGCAAGCAATTCCCACATTGTTGTCCCAGCCCTGTCTCTGGGGGCGCTGAGATCATGGGAGGCAATCTGGGCAAGTGGCCTGCTTGGCCTGGTGGAAGAGCCGGTTTGGGGGTATGGCCCTGACTGAGGAGAACCCTGCCTTCTTCTCTAGTCTAGGGGGTGTAGACAACACCTCACATCTCTTAACCCCTCAGATACCGGCGGTCCAATGCTGGGGCTACCCAGTCACTGCCGCCCCACATCCTGCTCAGCAGAGGCCTGGGCTTTCACCACCAGCAGCATCCATGTGGCCAAAGGGAGTTAGTTATGCATCCCTGGCATGCGTCAGCCCCATCTGGGTAGTGTGTGGGACACACACAGATGCACATATGCACCCTCGCATGCATGCATGTTTGTTTACTCCCGAGGGCCTAAGCCTAAACAGCATGTTGTCAGAAGGACGTGAGGATCACATCTTACTCTTTTCACACAGCCGGGAGCTGGATGAGATCTCTAGGTTCAGTGCAGACCCTGCATTTACTAGTTCAGAGGGAGGGGGAATGTTCTGGGTTTAGATGTTGGGCCATGAGTATTTGGTGTCTTCCCCCTCTGCCTTGACTTTGAATGTGGGTGTGGTGGAGCTCGGGGTGACTGCCCCCTAGGTGGCAGGGTCTCTGACATGGGCCACTGCTCTTGTGCTGGAAGTGGAACACTGGGGAAGTCCAGATTGGAAAGGCCAGCAGCACCCTGGTTGTGCTATGATTCATTGTGCGAAAAGTTCCTGCTCCTCTTGAGTATTCTGAGAAAAGAGGAGGCTGGGCACAGTCCCTGCAGGGTTTTCAGGGCCTTTCCAGTTCTGGCTCCCTGTGAGGATGCTGGTCCTCAGCCTTACCTTCCCCTCCCAGCAGGCCTGGAGCTGCTGAAGTCACGCTCTCACCTTGCCCTAGTCTCGTCTCGGTGGCTTAGATGCTTGATAAGACTTTGTGTCAACATTACAAATCCCTCCGGTGCTACTTCGTGCTGGGCCCAGGACTGAGAACAGTGTGTGTTAGGGGAGTCAGAGTTCCTGCTGTCAGAAATCTGACAGCCTGTGGTGGTCACTGTCCCCAGGGTTTGATGCTACTGAGCGAGTCCACCCACAGTCCCCTTGTCCCCATCTACTTTTCCCTGCTTGCTTCCCAGCTCCCACCAGCCAGCCACTGGGTGCTTGTGCTGTGTTAGAGAAACATTATCTGGCAGGGTCTGGGGCGTGAAGCTCAGGCTGAGGCTGCCCGTGGAGCTGGCAGTGGCGTCCTGAGGTCCTGAGTGGTCTTCATGTAGAGAGCAGCACAGTGCAGCTCTGGGCAGAAAATGTTCTCCAGAACTGAACGTGGGAGCCAGTGTGGCCCAAGTGTGGTGTGGCAATGAACACAATGGTCGTTTGGAAAGGTGGGCTGAGCAGAGCTGAGAGACGGAAGGGCTGGGGCTGAGCGAAGAAGGAAGGGTTGTGGCCCTCGCAGGGAGGAAAGGCCGTTTGGAGGTGGGTGGGCAGGATGGAAGGGGCCTCAGAGTCTTGAGGCTGAGACGGGCAGCCCCTCCCAGGGAGTTGTGATGCCCAGAGCCGTGTCTTGAAAGCAGCCAGGATTCCTGGTGTTTTCTCCGTGTTTCAGCTGCGAGTGGAGAGGGCTACACCCTATTTCTTTGAGGGCTCTTTGTTCCTGGCCGTGGGTTAGGGCAGCCTGACAGGTGGTGGGACAGCTGTGCTGGAAGCAGCTGTCAGGGCAGCGGCTGGGGCTGCAGTTGCCCAAGGGCTCCAAGACCTACAGTCCACCTGTGTCTCTTTGTGGAGAAAAGCAGGGAGGGGTCCATGAAAGGGAGGGGCTGCAGGGCCCACTTGGCCCTCCTAGCAACTAGGGCTAACAGCCTCTGGGGGAGGGGGTGAGACCCTCCCTCTTTTTGCTCCTTTCTTCCCTCTTCTCTTCCTTCTCTCCGCCGTCCTCTTTCTCCATTTTTCATTCTCATGTTTCTCTACTTTCCTCCTTTCTCTTGTCTGTCCTCTTCCTCCTCCTCTCTGTTCCTCCCTTTCCTCCGTCTCCCCCTTTTTTCCCCGTTTCTCACGCACCCCAGCCTCCTGACTTAGCAGATGGGAAATGGGAATTGAGAAAGGGTCTGAGCCCGTCTCAGTCTCAGGGACCACACTTCTCTCTCCATGTATCTCCAGCCTGTGCCTGTGCCAGGATGGGTTGTAGGGGGAGAATCTTGAGGTTACCTTCCACGAAATGGATGCTGTGGTATGCCTGCCCAGAATCAATACAGAACAGAAAGGGCTGGGAGGGAAGGAAGCCGTTAGTTTAGCCTTCTGGCCAGCCCTGGTCTACACGGCAGTCCTAGGAGACTTCAGCTAGGACAGAGGCAGCCTAGGGGTTAGAAGACCGGAAGATCTTAGTGTTCGAGTCTGGGAGTGACCACAGTGACCTCATCCCCATCTCAGAGAGGGAGAGATTGAGTCTGAGGATGTCCCCGGGGTCCTTTGTGTTCGAGGAGAATACAGCTCTGGTGGGCTGGTTTCTGTGCCAATTGCTGGGTTACCATGGTTACCAGGGGATGCCCAGCATTGAGCACCAGATTCTTCTCCTCCTCCCTCCCAGTAGGGGGAGGGGCAGCGGGTACCAAGGCACGCACCAGGTAGATTCCTGGCTCTGGCCAATGAGGGATGAGAATCGTGGTCGCCAGGGAACAGTAACCAAGGAACCGTTGCCTTGGAATCTCCACCGCATACCCGCTCCACTGGGTTGTGGGCTGCCAGGGCTAGGGCCGGACGTTGAGCTGACTAGGCAGAGATTTCTCCCCCACCATTCCCTGATTGCCTTCTGACCCAAGTCTCCGGCTCAGCGGAAATGATGCCTGGCCTTGTTATCACAACCAACCAACAACCAAAGCTTTCCCCCTCCTTGTCCTGTTCTCTGCCCTGCCCTCCCCCCCCATCACTCCTCTTCCCTCATGCCTTCTCCACCCAAACTTGGCTGCCTAGGACCTGACAGTTCTATGAGCCACCCCTCCCTCTCCCCAGGGCTCTGTACACATATGAGGATGGCTCAGATGACCTCAAGCTTGCAGCATCAGGAGGTAAGAATTCCAGCCATTCCTCTTCCTTCCCACCACCTACTCTGGCTGTTTTGTTGCCCTCCCTGGCTACAGCTCACTTTCCTGCCTCCGTCCCGCAGACCCACTTGTCGGATGGTGTCCTTCCTCTTGTTCTCCCTGCATTCTTCAGGGTGTAGAGGGAGGGAGCTTTGTTTCCCATTTGGTTTCCGGGAAAGCACAGTGAGGAAAAGGAACTTGCCTGACATCACACAGCTAGGGAAGGGGTCTAGGAGGGTGGCCAGGCTCAGCACGACTTTCTTAAGCGCTGGAAGACTTCCTTAAAGCTTCGTTTACCTCGCTGGGCACTAGCACCCGGTAAGACTGCGAGGTGTGATCACCGAGAGATGAAGACGTGTGAACAGACAACTCTTCAGTTCCATCTCAAATCAGGCCCAGGAGGGTTCAGAAGCAAAGCTAGAATCCTGTCTACCCCTTCACCTCATTACACAGAGATCTGGGCCTCTAGCTCGCGGACCAGAAATCCCCTGGGCGTTTTAGGCCCTTTGTAGGGTCAAGGGTGTAGGAGCTTGGCGAGCCCTGACACCTTCCTGGTTCCCCTAGAAGGGGGTTTGCAGGAGCTCTCGGGCCACTTCGAGAACCAGAAAGTGATGTACGGCTTCTGCAGCGTCAAGGACTCCCAGGCGGCCCTGCCAAAATATGTGCTCATCAACTGGGTATGCAGCTGTGGGATGGGGCTGGGAGCTGAAGGCCCCAGAGTGGTCGGTCACATTCCACCCGTAGCCGCTGCTAGGGAAAACCCCACACTCGTTCTTAGGAACATAGCCTGGGCCTGCAAGCTGTTGCCTTCCTCTTGCCCTATCCTGAGCACCTTTTCACCGGGTACGTTGTAGGTTGGTGAAGATGTTCCTGATGCCCGAAAGTGTGCTTGCGCCAGCCATGTGGCTAAGGTGGCTGAATTCTTCCAGGTATGTGGGGACTGGGTCCAGAGGGGGCCGGGTTTGTATGCTGGAGGTGGTGTTGGGAGTTTGGATGCCACCTAAACGCTGCTTTTTTATGGAAGGGTGTTGACGTAATTGTGAATGCCAGCAGCGTGGAAGACATTGATGCTGGTGCCATCGGGCAGCGGCTCTCCAACGGACTGGCACGACTCTCCAGCCCAGTATTGCATCGACTGCGGCTTCGAGAGGATGAGAATGCCGAGCCGGTGGTCAGTGCATTCCTGGGACAGGCTGGTCTTTCCCAGACATCACCTGTGTGACATAGTCCCTGAGTTGGGCCTCCCCAGCTCCTTGTAGCCCTCACTCTGCATGTGTGAGTACTAGACCATTGAGTCCCCTCCTGGTGCTCATTGTCAAGGCTCTTGACTTTGCAGGGCACTACCTACCAGAAGACAGATGCAGCCGTGGAAATGAAGCGGATTAACCGGGAGCAGTTTTGGGAGCAGGCCAAGGTGTGCAATGCTGACCCTAAGCCTTCAGGCCCAGGTGTCCCTGCTTGAGCCTTCAGGGTAGCTCTGACCTCTCCCAGCTGAACGAGCAATCCCTTCTCGGTCTCCGCACATGGGACTCATTACCCCTAATTCCTAGAAGGTCACCTCCCTAGCCTGGGTGGGAGTAGAATGGAGGGGCCAAGGCTGGCCTGGGCTCAGGGCTTGTACTTCCTGGGTGTGGGGTGCAGAAGGAGGAAGAGCTGAGGAAGGAGGAGGAGCGGAAGAAGGCCTTGGACGCCAGGCTCAGGTTTGAACAGGAACGAATGGAGCAGGAGCGGCAGGAGCAGGAGGAGCGGGAACGACGCTACCGAGAGCGGGAGCAGCAGATCGAGGAGCACAGGTGAGGCCTGGCCCGAGGCAGAGGGCCGCCCCCCCCCCCAGCCCACCCTGAAGGGTGTGCTTGCGCTTCTCATTCCAGGAGGAAACAGCAGACTCTAGAAGCTGAAGAGGCCAAGAGGAGGTTAAAGGAACAGTCTATCTTTGTAAGTCATTTTCCGGGGCTCTCCTGCCTGGCCAGGAAAGTGAGGGGGGGTCCATGTGTTCTGGGGTCCTCTGGGGACATCAGTAACCCTCCAACAGTGCCAATACTGGATATTCTGGGAATGTACATGGACATCGATGTCATGAGTGTGTTAAGCCCAGCACCTGTTATGGGGGTGTGGGCTGGTGTTTGAGGGGGAAGATGGCGGACAGACTTCTTTTAGATGCTTATCTCCAAGTTGGAAGAGAAAATCCACGTTGACCCATCCCCTCACTGACCTGGCTCCTCCATCCCTTCCCGCTTGGGGTCTGGGGACTTGGGGTATATTAGTCATGGGCTCTGCACTTGCTGGGGGGTGGGGGGCGGCTTGAGAATTAGGCTGTGTAACGAAAGTGACTCAGGTGTCCTGAATGTGTATAGACTGGTGCTTTTCCATATGCAGGATCTCTAGCATCCCCTTCTTTTACTGCTGCTGTCCTAATCTATGTTGTGTTTGCCCAGTCATAGCAAGGTCTTTTGAGAGTGGCTTAGTTTCATTGAGATTTCAAAGGTGTGCATGCACACAAAAGTGAGGACTGTAGTGACTTTTGTTCTTGCCAGTCACCAACGTTGGCTGCAGGGTTCTTGCTGTTATCTTACAGTCCGTCCACTGCTTCAAGTTACCTCATGGGAAAATAACTACGTAGCAACACTGTAACCAGCTGTTAGGGCGGCCTTTTGATTTCAGGTCCTTTAAGGAAGGTCCCATGTGACACTGGAATTTATCACCAGGTAGCGTTTTCTTTTTAGCTTAGGTATTCTGGGGAGCTGTGCTTCCTTGTGTCCTGATAATAAGAGTTTATCTACTTAGATTTACTTACTTTACTCACTGTGTATGAGTGTTTTGCCTGCATGTATGCCTGTGTACCATGTGCCTGCAGCATTCCGAAGATGGATCTTCTGGAACTAGAGTTGCAGGTGGTTGTGAGCCACCATATGGGAGCTGGGAACCAAACCTGGGTCCTCTACAAGAGCAGCAAGTACTCTTCAGCACTGAGCCACTTCTCCAGCCCCATGGTTCCCTTTTTGTTTTGGGTTCTAGGGCATTCTCATGTATCAAAATGCTTAGGTACAGCCATCAGTGCTCCTACCCATATTGCTAGAGTCTTCCTCACTTTCCCTGGTGTTCACATTGTTCACAGTGAAAGCCTCTGTGATAAGCTGCTCTGTTCCTTTATTATTTACTTATTTAGTGCACATGTGTGTGTTTGTGTGCGTGTATATGTGTGCATGTGCATGCATGTGTGCATACGTGCGTATCTGTGGTATGAACAGTGCATTCACCCATGCATGCACCTATAGCGGCCAGAAGTTAACCTCTGGTGTCTTCCTCATCGCTACCCACCTTGTTATTTGAGACAGGCTCTCTCTCTGAACCTGGTGCTTACTGTGCTGCCTAGACTGTCTGGCCAGCGAGCCCCAGAGGTCTTCCTCTGCACCTCCAGTGCTGTTACAGATGTGTGCTGCCCTACTGGGCTTAGTATGTGTCTGCTGAGAATCCACACTTAGATCCTCATGCTTTATCCACGGAGCCATCTCTCTAGCCTGCCTCTATTCCTAGCTTTGATTGAAACAAAGTAAAGGAACCTGGTGAAACTACGCTAAGCAAGTTTTAAGTTCTAGGTTATGTGCTCAAAAGCAAAGAAGGTTTGAGCCAGGCGTGCGGCTCGTGCCTATAATCCCAACACTAGGAAAGCAGAGGTAGACGTAGCGCTGGGACTTTGACTGGTCTACATGATGAGTTCAAGGCCAGCCAGTGCTACAAAGTAAAACCCTTTTTCAAAATATAAGAAAAAGGTTCAGTTCTTGACCTAGCTTTTTTCCCTTGCCCAGCAGCCGCTTCTGCCCGGTTTGCCCCATGAACGGCAGGAGATGTGAAGTAAGAGCTTTGGTGTAGTGAGCGTCCCACTGAACAAACACATACTGACCTTTTGCTGGCCACTCACACAGACTTGGGTCTTAATCCTGTGCTGCTCACAGAGGATGAGGGAAGTGATCCCAGAAACAGGAACCACAATGTAGTGCCATCGGCAGGATCTGCCGGGAACTCCCTGTGGGGACCCAGAGAAGGAAATGACCTGAGTGAGCCAGAGACTTTTTGCTCTGGAGGTTGTGCCCAAGTCGAGGTCTTAAACTGGAGGGGCTGAACTATAGGGGTGATGATAGGTGGGCATTTGGGAGGGGTGGACTGATCTCCATTGCAGAGCATGAACTTGGGAAACGGGCTGACTATTCTAGGCACTGTGACTGTAGCATGCAGAGGACATTATGTCCACATCTAGCAGAGTATGTGGGCGAGTTGGAGCTGGCCTAGATGGTGGGGCTGGAGGCATAATGAAGACTAGATAAGACGGGGGAGAAGAATGTAGCCAAGCAAGGGGCCTGCCCACCTATGGTCTTCGGGTCCAGTCTTGAAACTTAAGTTGTGAAAATGGGAATGGGGACTAGGGGGGCTACAGTGTACGGAGTAGCACACTTCCAGGGTACGGCAGCTTCTGTGTCACTGGCTGCCATGGTGTTGATAATCTAGGGGCCTGAGTACGCACTCAGTAATACAGCAGTGGTCCAGCATTTACAAGGCCCCCGATTTGGGGGGTCATTGGGGGAGGGGGACACACTGAGACAAAGAAAATACAAACTAGATACTCAGGGGCCTGTGAGAGACCTCATCTCAAAAAAAGAAAAAAAAAAAAAACCCAAAAGCCAGGTGATGCAGGAGAATCGTAAGTTCAAGGTCAGCCTAACAGTTTAATGAGATTTTGTTTCAAAATAAAAACATAAAGGACTGTGGGTGTAGTCACTGGTAAAGCCCTGGCTTGCCTACTGTGAGGACCTGGGTACAATCCCTAGTGTGACAAAATAAGAAACCAGATTCTACTTTCAGTCAATATGAAACACTTTTTTTTTTTAAATTTTTTTTATTTTTGGCTTTTTTTGAGACAGGGTTTCTCGGTGTAGCCCTGGCTGTCCTGGAACTCGATCTGTAGACTAGGTTGGCCTTGAACTCACAGAGATCTGCCTACCTTTGTGTCCAGAGTACTAGGATTAAAGTCATGTGCTACCACACCCGGTTCAGAACTGAACTTTGGAGTGGCAGCAGCTTAATTTATGTGGGTTTAAAAACTTGCCATAGGGCTTATGATATGGCTCAGCAGTGAAGAACACCTGCTTCTCTTCTGTAGGACCTGGGTTCAATTCCCAGTACCCACATTTTGGGAGCCACCTGTGGCTCCAGTTCTAGGGATCTGACACCCTCTTCTGGACTCTGAGGACACTGCATGAACATGGTGAATGGACAGACATATGGGCAAAACACTGACACACAGGAAAAAAAAAAATTAAAAGTGGCTTTAAAATATGGCCTCAAAACAATATCCCGTCCACAGGCCACATTCAGCCAGTGCTTGCTGTAGCTTAAGTTAGCTAGAAGACAAGGGATACTCCAATGGCCCTGGGTGCCTGGTTAGATGTAGGAGTGAAGGAGGTTCCCAAAGCCTGGCCAGTCTGTGATAGGGTGGCTGGAGACACTGAAGATGCAGAGCAAAGTGCCACCTTCGAGATCCTGCTGGGCTGTAGAAGAGATGCTCAGAACCCTGTCTGTTTGGTTTCCAGGGTGACCAGCGAGATGAAGAAGAAGAGTCCCAGATGAAGAAGTCAGAATCAGAGGTGGAGGTGAGAGCTGGGAAATAGCAAGTGAGAAGGGCAAAGGCTGGCTCAGCTGCTAGCCCTGGCCAGTTCTCTGACGCTTTCCTTGTGCCCTCAGGAGGCGGCTGCCATTATTGCCCAGCGGCCTGATAACCCACGGGAGTTCTTCAGACAGCAGGAACGAGTTGCGTCGGCCTCTGCTGGCAGCTGTGACGCGCCCTCACCCTTCAACCACCGACCAGGTAGTCCTTGGTCCTATCCTTGCCCGATCCATGCTCCTCAGACTGAGGCCCTAAATCCCTTTGGGACGACTTCTTGGAAAACAAGCCTTGCCCAAGGACTCCTTGGAGAAGGCAAGACCCCTTCAGTGTGCTTCCACCCACAGCTTTCCAGGTGGTAGCACCCACAAAGGGGCTGGGTTGAGGGGCAATGTCAGTGCTGGGCATTGGTTGAGTGATGGATAATCCTCAAGGCCTGCTAGGCAGCTTTGGTGCAGATGCAGGCACGCTGCTGGCGTTGGGAGCTTCCGTGCAGGGCTGGACTAGGTCTGGCCTGAAGGCTGTGGATGCATGTAGGGTGGGGTCTTGCTCTGGCCTTTTGTTTGAGCATCCTGGAGCAGTTGTCCTCTGGGGTTCCCTGTTTGGCTTCTCCTTGTGTAGCTTCTGCCTCCCCTTGAAGTGCCCTTCTGTTTCTTGTCTGCTGGTCTGAGTGTTTGCATCCGCTGTGTGCTTGGTCATGTGCTGGGATCCCAGGAGCATGACGGACTAGACTCATTTGTGCTGCTGCGTGTGCCCATGTGTGTTATCTGGTGCTGGCTGGTGGGAGGCATCAGGTGGCTTGAGGCTGTTGGCCTAGCTTGGCTGAATGTAGACCCTGGCTGAAGGTGGCTTGGACATTCAGGGCTGGCCCTGGGGGTGGGTGAGGCCTTGGGGCAGGGGTGGGGGAGACTGACCCTCTCTTGTCCTCTGTCTCTTTCTCTGTCTGTCTCTCTTGGCAGGTCGTCCGTACTGCCCTTTCATAAAGGCATCGGACAGTGGGCCTTCCTCCTCCTCCTCTTCCTCCTCTTCCCCTCCACGGACTCCCTTTCCCTATATCACCTGCCACCGCACCCCAAACCTCTCTTCCTCCCTCCCATGTAGGTAGCAGCCCCAGGCCTCGGCAGGGTGGGGTAAGGAGGGCCCCGCTTCCCAGCAGCCCCCTCGCCCTTTCTCCCCCAGCCTGACTGCTGACTGCTGACTGCTGGTGTTTATCCCCAAAGCAGGTACTACCTGCCACTTGTCCCTGGCCCTGCAGGGCACTGGCCCCGAGGGGCCTGGTTTACAGGGTCTGGAGCAGTAATCTGGCCCCTGGGGGGCCTGGGGAGCTCACAGCCCCCACCCATAATCAAGACAAGGTAGATAGTCCTGATTCCACTTGGCTCCCCAACCTTCACTGACTAGCCTGGGCATTTGTTCCACAGGCAGCCACCTGGACAGCCACAGGAGAATGGCACCTACTCCCATTCCCACCCGGAGCCCATCTGATTCCAGCACAGCCTCCACCCCTGTCACCGAGCAGATTGAGAGGGCCCTGGATGAGGTTACATCCTCACAGCCTCCACCCCCACCTCCACCACCCCCACCAGCTCAAGGTGAGAGAAGGATTCCACCTGTATCCATCCTTCCAGCAGCCTCTGGTTGCCATAGTAACATAGTTCAAAGAGACCTGGACCACTCATCACCAGCACTGCATTGCTAAGGAAGTGACTGTAGCTGAGAAGAGCTCTGGTGTTGCTATCAGACCTGCCTTCTCCTAACCTCACTGGCTCATCACTGAAGTGATCATGTGGCCTTCCTCCATGGGCTCCCCAGTGGTTTAAAAACAACTGGTGAAAGGGTAATGAGTTAGAGCTGATGGTGCCAGAAGATGCCTCTGGTAGTTCTTCATCATAAGTCCCTAACTCCCTACTCTTCAGTAGCTGGGCAGGACACTGTAGATTGGGTCAGGGCATCTATCCTTGCCCAAGGGGGTTGACTACATTGTGTCCTTAATGTGTACTATGACAGAGGCCCAGGAGTCTGCCCCGAGACTGGATGGTGAAGAGACCAGCAAGGGGGCCGAAGCCGCAGCAACCCCTCGGACCTGGGCTGACTCTACAGAGGAGCACCCTCAGGCCTGGGCTGGCTCTACAGAGGAGTCCCCTCGGGCACAGGAACCTCCTCCGGTGCAAAGTAGCCCCATGGAGGACTTGATGTGCACAGAATCCCCAGAGCAGGCTGTCCTGGCTGCCCCCGCAGAGCCTGCTGCCTCTGTCACCTCAGTAGGTGATGCCCATGCAGCTGACACCATTGAGACCACCACTGCCACTACTGACACCACTATTGCCAATGATGTCACCCCTGGCACTGCCAGCCTCATTGATCTATGGCCTGGCAATGGGGAAGAGGCCTCAGCACCTCAGGCTGAGCCCAGGGTGCCTACACCACCCTCAGGTGCTGAGGCCTCCCTGGCAGAGGTACCTCTGCTGGATGAGGCAGCCCCGGACCCGCTGCCGCCAGCTGGTGAAGGCTCTGCCAACCTTCTTAATTTTGACGAGCTGCCAGAACCTCCAGCCACATTCTGTGACCCAGAGGAGGAAGTAGAAGGGGAGCCGCTGGCTGCCACCCAGGACCTAAATATGCCCTCAGCTCTAGAGGAGGTAGACCAGGTCCTGGAGCAGGAGCTGGAGCCAGAACCTCACCTTCTGACCAATGGAGAGACCACTCAAAAGGAGGGGACTCAGGTGGGACGGGGAGCCTGGCGGGAGGAACAGTAGCGAGGGCTGAGGGCCTGGACTGATGGCTTGTAGATCCATACTGAGAAGCAGCTCTATTCTGACTCTGACTCCCCTTTCCATCTCTGCATTTGTTCCCTGGCAGTCAACTGTGTTTCCCCAGCAACCACTTTTGGAATCCTTGGTTGCCAGAGAAACAGGCTCAGGCCTGATAGATCAGCTGTAGTCCTGGCAGGTGGGGCCTAGTGGCCTATGCTTTTTTTTTTTTCTTTCCTAAAACCCAACAGGCCAGTGAAGGATACTTCAGTCAATCACAGGAGGAAGAGTTCGCCCAATCAGAAGAGCTGTGTGCAAAGGCTCCGCCTCCGGTATTCTACAACAAACCTCCAGGTAGTTCTTCCCTGGATGAATGGTGGAATTCTGGTGACAGACTGGGATTGGAGGGCTAGCAGTGTCACTAAACACAGTTGGCACCGCTCTTGGGAGTGAGGGTGGGGACACACTACCCAGCCCTGTCCTCTCCTCTCCCAATATATCCTAGAAATCGACATCACCTGCTGGGATGCAGACCCCGTACCTGAAGAGGAAGAGGGCTTCGAGGGTGGTGATTAGTCGTGGCAACTGTTCCCTGGCTGCCTTCGCTAAGGCTGCCCACCTGCGGTAGCCTCTGGCCAGACGGCTTGCAGCGCCTGCATTAGCAGCGGCCCCGCCTGGCACCCACTCTGGACTCCGGCGCTGGCCGGGATCTGTCCGCTTCCCTACCCACAGGGCCTGACTTTACAGCTTTTTTTTTTTTTTTTAAAGTTGATAGACTTGTACAGTTGACTGGTTTCCCTCCCGTTGGTAGTTGAGATGATGTTACAGATTTTCCACCCCCTTCCTGCCCAGACCAGATTGTAGCTTAGGCTCTGCTCGGCCAACCAGGGTGGGACCTGGTGGGGGTTGGGGGTTTTGGTGGGAAAATGTTCCCCCCATCACTTTTCCTAGTTTTATGTTTCTTGGAAAAATATCACTTTGTATTCTCTATCCAGGGTTTCAGATATTTTGCACGAATTTTAACACATGGCAATAAATGGCTCGTGGGCTCTGGCTCCCTGGGACCCCTCCCCTTCTCTTCACCCTCGCTGCTTGGTCAAAGGAATTATCAGGCCCACCTGGGGCTCCTTGGCTTCCCGCCCTCTCCTGCCGGGCAGGTCCCAGGCTGGAGGTCCTAGGCGTGACTCAAGTCAGGGCTTATAGATGGGACCCAGGGGTTTGGGTGGCCCCTCTCCGATTCCTTCCTCTCTGCTTGGGTTCTTTTTCACATTAACTCCCCCGCCCCTTCTCTTTTTTCTTTTTTCTTTTTAAAGCACAAACTTATGTAATGAGTCGTGCTCATGTCTGATAATAAAGAAATCCAGATCCCTTTGGGCCTGCTGCTCTGGGCCTCCAGGGGTTGATCTGGCGTGGGCGCCGGCTCTCAAGACCCGCTTCCCAACTGCTGTCACCTCCGAGGCTACAGGGGGCGCACCTCTGTTACCCTGTGGTATCAAAAGCAGGCTAAATGGAGAAAGAACATCCTGCCCCTGAAAAGTAACCTTCGGTTTCCAAAGGCCTGCACATTTCTGTACACACCTCCCCACACACACCAGGTCCAACATGCTTGGGCACTATAGCACCTTGGGCGTAAAGCAGCTGGCATTCCCCTCCGCTTGTACCAAAGCAGATCACACACCTTTATTATCCTCAAAATGTAACAAACAGGGTAAGAAATCCCACCCTCCCCCCACCCCTCCCTGCAGTCCAAGGGAAGCATTTAAAAAGCCTCGCAGTCAGGCTAGGAGTTCGCCTGTGGGGCTCGGGACGCCGGGCGCCCCTCTATACGGCTGTAGTCCTCCCGAACAAGGGGATGGAGACGGGCAGACGCCAAGCTCCGTGCTCTAGGGGCTCGCGGCTGCTGAGCTCTGAGTCGGTCCAGCTGGGGAAGACCCGGCGGCTGCGGTCAGACTGCAGACAGAGGGCAGGGCAGGGGGCGGCGGGTCGCGGGGCACTGGGAAGATGCAGCGCCGAAGTATAGCCCCGGTCCAGGAAGAGAGGCTTGTAACTCGGAGGCGGCTGCTCCTGCTTCTCCGCGCTGTCGCGGCGGCTCAGAAAGGGCGTGACGATCTTGCGGTAGAGCCCGCGAGTGTCCGTGAGCACCTCGCTGTAGGGCGGCGGCGGCTCGGCCATCAGCACCGCCTCCTCGTAGCACGGCGGCTTAGACATGTCCGATTCCGCTGCGGGACGGGAAGCGGGCTGTGAGGATGAAGCCGCCGGCCCCAGCCTCCCGCAGGCACCACCACCCTAGCCCGCTTCTCCCGGTGCATCGGCAGGGAGCGCTCGCCTGCTGAAGCGCAGCCTTACCTTGGCGCGGGTAGCTCCAGGGCCGAGGCGGCACGGAGAGGTGCGGTGGCGGTGGGTGCGGCAGTGCGTGATGGTGTGGGTGCGGGTGCGCGTGCGGCTGCGCGGGCCCGTGGTGCAGCAGCGGGTGCACGTGCACGTGCGAGTGCGCGTGCACAGGCGCCTCCAGACGGCTGCGGTGCGGTGGTGGCGGCGGCGCCAGGCCGGGAGGACTTCCAGCCAGGCTGCCCTCAAGCTCGAGGGGCTCCAGCTCCAGAGCACGCAGGTTCTGCTCCCTCAGTCGCTCCTCCTGGCGCCGTTTGAGGCGGCGGCGCAGGAAGCTGCAGAAGCAGCAGAGCAGGACGATGAGACCCCAGATGAGCCAGAAGCCGGCGAAGCACGTGAGGAACGTGTAGGTGCCCTGGGACATCACCATGGCTGCGGCGCGAGCGGCAGGTCCTCGGCGGCTCTACTGGACGCTGGGCTCCTCGGCGTGGCCCCGGGGCCGCGCCACGCTCCCAGGTGCCGCCAGCGTCACTTGGGGACCTGCGGCCGGGGGCTGCCTGCGGCGGGGCTCAATGGGCGCGCATGCCGGCGGGGGGCAACTTTGGTTCCCGCTCCTTTCCATGGCGCCGACCGGCGCGGGCCTGCTTCACCCGGGGCCGCGAGCGACCTGCGGGGCAAACACAGGACTCAGCGAGGCTCGCCGGGATCCCGGGTGACTCCCGGACTGCACCCGCGTCCCGCGCAGGGCCGGGGATGCCTCCTTGGCGGGAACCCCCGCACTCCCCGGGGGCTGGGTGACGTCACCGGGTGATGACGTCACACCCCGAGGTTTCCCTGATAGGGTTTCCCCGAATCGAGACCCGGCCACCGCGTGCCGGCGCGACCCAAGGCAGGCCAGCAGGGGGCGCGCGGAGTCCGCCCACAAACCCAGGGTCCAGCTTCGAGGTGGTTTCCGAGGCTGTGAACACTAGGGCACTAGAATGGTCTCGGCGCGGTTACTTTAGGTGGGGGAAAAGGACAGTCCATCAACTGGAGGTCCACTAGCAGCCCGCTAGGCGCCCAGCTTCTGCCCTGCACTGCTTCCAAATATTGGCCACGCCTGTAAGAGACTGGCGGGTGCCTGCCCCTGCATGCCACCGGCCGAGCCTTTGTCTGCTCCTGACACGGTGTGCTGGGCGTGGGCCAGGCGCTCTTTCCTTCCTCCAGGCGCCTCTGCCAGCCAGATTCCAGCCCCAACTTGACTTCCCTCACCACCTACTCATGCGCAAACTCCACTTGGCTGTGCCTCTCTTACTTCCAGCCCTCCCCCTCCCTTCCACCAATTCCTTTCCCTCTTTGGAAAGAGGTGGAAAATTAGATGAGATTTGTCTTTTGGACCCACCTCATACCACAGCAGGGGGCTGAAGAAATCTCTGCACGGGGAGAATTTAGAAGCCCCGACTGCCTAGTTAAGGGCAGCAAGCAACAGACAGGTCACCATCCATGCCCACGGCCCTTTTTGAATGACTCTACCAGGGGAATTGTTAAAACCCAATCCTTTGGATAACGAATTATTTCTAACTCGCAGCTGAGAACTGGAAGCAGTTAACCGCACAGATGGCAGTGCTAATTTGAACCTAGGCCTAGCAGCAAAGCCCTGGCCTGAGCTTGTGGGAAGGAAGGTTTTCCAGGAGCTCTGAGCAAGGGCCTGCCCTTGGCACACCAACCCTCACTCAGCTCTGGTGTCCACAATCATCTTAAGACCCAGGCTGAAAGGATGCCAGGCCTTGGCCACCCCATCTTACCCAGATGGCTCCTGTCTGCCTCTCTGGCTGCCTTCAGCCATGTGTCACTTGGTGCCCATGCCAGTCCTACCCTCCTGGGCCTGCGTTCCAGAGCAGACAAGGGTAGAACAATAGCTCTGCCCGCCCCCTCGACAACCCCACCATGAGGCTGCCATGGTGACGCAGCCCAGATAAAAACACGATGTTGCCAGTCACCGGGAGTTAATTAAATCTGTTGTTCTCCTTTCCTCGAGCCCTCAGGAACGGGAATGTTCTGAGGGAACAGACACTAGCTCGAGGTTTTGGCCAAAAGGGCAGAAACAGTCCCGGGGCAGAAAAAGTGTTTCCGTGGATGGAGGTAATGGCACTTGCTAATTAGAAGCATCTGTCAAGAGCCAGGTGGGGGACGGCACAGGTGTGCAACTATGAAGAGGGCTTGAGCCCAAAAGACTGGCCACCGTGGACAACATGTAATCATGGCTCTGAGTATATAAATTAAAGGAAGCTTTAAATGTCTGTCAAGGTCATCAGAGCTTGTCTCGTCTTTCCATGGACATTTTTGTTGTTTTTGAGACGGGTGTCACTATACAGCACAAACTGGCTAAGCTCAGGAGCAGTCCATCTGCCTCTGGCTCCAGGCAGAATTGTCAGAACATTAACATCACCTTGTCACTTCTGGTCACGCCACTGTTTGAAGGAGGAAGTGGCACCCTTAGGAGACTCCTTTCATGTCCTACAGCTAGTAGGAGGTGTTAAGGGTTAGTCTATATCTGCATTGGTCGCTGTCCACTGTCCACGTGGTGAGCTGGGGATAAAAATTCAGTGTGTGTGAGGGCACTCAGTCTGTGAGAACTTGGTAGTTAGGTTAACTAGTAGCCAAATGTGTTTTCCTGTTCTTCCTGTCAAAGGTCTTGGACCACCTGTTAGGCATAGCTCAGGGAAGTACTACACGATGGAGAGAGACTGGCAGCTTCAGGCTCAACAAGGATCAAAGCACAGAAACTATGCCCAAAGGGCATCTAGCTCAGCAGACTGGGCATTAGACCAGACTCCGAAGACTAAACCCTGAATCTGTGCTGCTCTCACTGATGCAAGTCATTCTGCAAGGACCAAGAAACACCGTTCACTTCACTGTGTGCAAACTGTCGGTCAGAGAGAACTCTCTCCCTTGAGAACACCCTGCCGAGTCAGCCTCTGACGACATTCTGACTGTCCACCTAACCCTAGGCACACTCTCTTGCTGGGGCGACAGAGGGCCAGTCACGCCTAAAGTCTCCCTCCTGTATACTATCTAGTCCACAACAGCTGCTCAGTACATAGGCACCAAGAGGGTCATTCAGATCTTTTAAAATGTTCTGCTGAACAGGCCAAACTTCTCGAACCCCACGGTCCCAGGGCTCTTCCTTGCCTCTGCAAGCTTTGACCCTAGCTGGGGGAAGCTGCGGACTCAGACCCAAGTCTTCCTGTCTCCACACCACTGACAGCAAACACCTGCGACTTGCCCACCTCCCGTTGGGAACCATGCCCTCCAGATGGACTCATCCTTCCATCTGCCATGTTAATAATTTCTGTATTTCCTCTTTTTCTTTATTCTTGCAAATTACTAAACATTGCCCAGGATTCCATGTTGATTGGTGTAGCATTTTGGGCATATGCTTTGCTGGGTTTTCTTAGACCACCCAGGAATTACACCAAGGGATGAAAGCAAACCCCACCAGGGCTTTCCTACCCACTCTGCTGCCTGTTTCCTCATGGGTCACCATGGAAGGGAATGAGCTAGCCTCTGCAAGGGTAGAGTTGTCTGCTTCTGGGCTGAGGGTGAATGTTTCAGACTCGTACCTCTGAAACTTGTACAGTGTCTGAAATACATGAACAGGGAGCTTGTCTGGACCCAGAAAGCTAGCACCACCATCACTTCATTCAGTAGGTCTGGGTGAGACTCCAGTTCTCATTTTCTCTTCTTTTATCTCACAAAGTAGCCCAGGCTGGCCTTAACCCCATGACAATCCAATTGCTTCCACTTCCTAAAAGCTGGGATTACAGGCAAAAGCTACCACACCTGGTTTATAAATTCAAATTTCTAACAATTTCCTAGTAGATTTGAAGCCAGAGAAACTCCGTGACCTAGATCTTGGCCTCCAGAATGAGTTCCTGCCAGGGCCTCTTGGCCTCCTCCACCACTTCCCTGATAGGTCTACCCTGAGACACCTCCCTGCCCTGGGCTGGGTGAGGACAATGCCTAGCGACCTTGGAATGCTCTTGAGTATAACTGACTGCTCGATCGATGGGCACACAGAAGCTAAGCGCCACCCGTTGAAGTTACTGGAGGTGTCCAGTTACCTGTTTGATATTTTAGGTGTAGGAGAGGGGAACATTTCAGGCGCTGGGCCAGCATATATTCATATATATTCATTCTTGGGAAATATTACTGAAGAAGAAGCTGTTGCCCAGTTTTTAGCCTTCATGGGGCTTTTGTTTTGTTTTTTTCAAGACAGGAGTTCACTATTTAGCTCTTGCTGTCTTGGACCTCACTATATATATCAGGCTGGCCTCCAACTCACAGAGATCTGCCTGCCTCTGCCTCCCAAGTACTGGGATTAAAAGTGTGCACCAGTACACCTGGCCCTTGGAGTGGCTTATCACCAGATCAAAACTCTAGTCATCTATGAGTAAAGAAAAAAAATGACACAGAGGCATGACGTAGAGGGAAGTCTGGTCACAGGGACTCTGAGTGACAGGGTGCAACTCTGGGCATATGCCTGAGGAGAGAGCAGCCAGGAGACAGAGTGGCGGAGTGTAGTGTGGTGGACTGATAGGGGTGAGTGGAGGAGTACAGCTGCCACCCTGACCCTCCAGGCATCACTGGCTTCTACAGCTGTGATCTCAGCAATCCTTGAGCGACCCAGTCCTGGCAGGAAAGGGCGTATCGGGGTACACAGGTGACATGTCTACACCTCCTCCTCACACCAACCTGGATGCACTGAGGCCAGAGTAAGCTGAACTTGTCGCAGCTCCCAACGTTATGGAGCTGGCCATAGCCTTACTTTCAGTAGGGCTCGGTACTGGCTGGGACCCTGGCCTTCAGGGTCCTGACATAGGTCTGTGACCTGACTATGGCACAAAGAAACTGCAGGAGAGCATCAGAGACTGGAGCCCCAGTGGATCTGCAGACACAAGGATTTCTTTATGCACTCATTTCTCAGGTCTGGCCCTGCTAAGAGCAGCTTGGGAAGAAAGGGGCAGGACATCAAAAGCCCATACTCAGCCAGGCAGTGGTGGTGTTCACCTTTAATTCCAGCACTCAGGTCTACAGAGTGAGTTCCAGGACAGGCTCCAAAGCTACACAGAGAAACCCTATCTTGAAAAACCAAAACCAAACCAAACAAACAAACAATATTCATATGAAAACCTTGTTCTCCCTTATTCTGCATCTTTGTTCTTGCAAGGGAGGAAGCCACGTGATAGGGAAAGCTAATGCTCACGTTTCTTAAGGAACAGCCTGTTGTAACACGTCAAGCACTCAAGGGAGGTGTGAATTCAAATCCTGTTTCTTTGCCTGTAGAGCAGGGATGATAAGACCTGCCCTTAGGGGCTGGAGAGATGGCTCAGCAGTTAAGAGCACTTGCTGTTCAAGAGGACCTCGGTTAAGTTCCCAGTACCCACAAGT